TTTTTTGATGATTAGTGTAATGCTCATGCAGTGGCTTGTTTTTCCTCAGATGAGTCTATGGATTAAATGTCTGTACCTAAATTTTCAAGCTCGTTGCCGAGCAGAACCTGTTAATTCCTGCAGAGTTTCATGTGAGCTTTTACTATCCCTGAGGAATACCAATTGATTGTGGGAACTTAACAGAAACATAACTCAAATGATCCCATAATCTATCCTAGGAGTGACTTGTTTGATTCTTTCCCCTGTGGCAGCAGTAGTCATCTCTGTAGACTTTCAAAAATGAAAATCTAGTTAACTAAAGGGAGGTCCATGCAAACAGCTAGTCTTTTCATTGTTTTGTGATTCCAACTGATTTAATCAATTATAGTCATGGTGCCTGCCTGTAGCACATATCCAGTGGATTTAAAAGAAACTGCCCTAGCTAGTTTAGCTCAATGGTTAGAGCATCAGCCCTCTGATTGAAGGGTCATGGGTTCAATTCTGGTTGCAGGCTCAACCCTGGTCCTGGTGGGGGGGGCGAGCAAGAGGTAGCCAATCGATGTGTGTCTCTCTCTCATATTGATCTCTCTCTGTCTCTCCCTTCCACTCTCTCTGGAAAACAATGGAGAAAATATACTTGGGTGAGGATTAACAAAAAAGTAAAAATAGAAAAAATAAGAAAATAAACTGCCTCACGTTAAATAATCAACACATTTTCTGTTTATGTTTATTTTGAAAATGACTGGTATTCTTTTTACTTTTTAGGTTTTCTATTTTAATATTTTTTGGCTAAGTGCAGTTAAATACTGCATGATGTTTATAAAAAAAAAAAAAACACATCAACATGTGTGCCCCGACTCAGAGTCAGGCAGCTGAAACATTAGCCTTAGTGTTTCCTTTGACTAGCACCCAGTGTATTACATATTCATTTTTCCTCTCTGGGCTCTGAGGCATTGAAATAGCTTTTACATTGCATCTGTTCCTGGTGTTGAGACCAGTGTTTAGTGGAGAAGCCCACTGAGCTGTTAGAACTTAGAATAGTTTGTGTGTTTGCCAAGTCTTGATAGACTTCTCTGTGTGGACCTTTAGGTGTGAAATAGGTTCTGAATATGTACTGGTAGGAAAGGTACCATCAGTTAATATAATTGCTGAGTTTTATCACTTTGCCAAGAAGGCAAAGTCTTTCTCTAATCGTTATACCATCCTCTTACATCATATTTCCTGCATTTATATTTAAGTCAGCCTTCTGTTCTATCTCTTAGCTATCTGTGTTTGCGTATTGAAATCAAAGAAATGTTTGAGGTTTACTTTCTTAATAATACAAGTCCAAATTTACTGATATGAATTTTGAGTTTCACTAAAAAATGTACCTCTAAAGCACCTATACATTTTATACAGGTACTAGTTAATGGTATTTAACCAACGGCTTCTGTAAAATTTACTAAGCAATGAGAAGTCAGTGTGTCTTGTGATGTTTAGGGAAAATTGCAGATTTGGATGAGTTTAGAGCCTAAATATATAAACCCTTTCACAAAGGGATCAAAGCAATGCACCACTGTCTAAAATAACTTCAGTTCTAAGCACTGAAGCAGTGGTATACATTTATTTTATAATGTATGTGTTCCATCCCATTCTCTCCAATCCTAGTTCATCTCCAACTAGGCAGTTTTGTTCTCATTCCCATCAACTGCTGGCTTCTATTTGCTTCACAGAATCTGGAAAAAGCCATGAGGACCTTCCCCACCGCCTCATCCATGGGTTACTTTCTCAGTCCTCCAGGAGAATTTCTTTGCAGCATTGACACTGACCACTCGATTCTCCTTGAAATTCTTTTTTTTTCGCTTATGACCTAGAACTCTTTGTCTCCTAGTTCTCTTCCTGCATTGCTGAGCATTCCTTTCTCATCACCTTTGATTTCCTCCTCTGCTTACTTCCTAAAAAGTCCCCATTCTGGCCTGTGGGGTAGCACCCTTTGGTTCTTCTCTTCAATGTGTGCTCATCCACACTGGTTTTAATTCATGCTGCTTCCAGACCTACAGTTCCAACCTCAATTTCTTTCTTCTTCCCTAGTTAATGGTAATAGTAACAGCTAACATTTATTGGATGCTTACTGTTCATGGGCATATTCTAAGCACTTATATGTATTTATTCAGTCAGTCCTGCAGCATTCCCTTGAGTTAAGATTCTTTATTATTCTCATCTACTGTTGAAGAAACTGAAGCAGAGGTGTTAAGGAATGCGCCGAAGGTCCCCCACCTAGTAAGTGTGGCATGAGGGTCAGTGCCAGGCAGCCTAACCCCAGAAACATTGCTCTTAACCACTGTGTGCTCTGCCATTTGGGCCACATCCACTCAGGTCTTAATCCTTGTATCTCTGTGCGAAACCCTCAGCTCAATCCCTGTTGCTCATTTCCTTCACCTTGGTCTTCCTGTGTCCAACTGTGCCACTTCTAGGTATCCTCCATTTCACCAACAGAGTTAGGTTTCTGATAGGTGAGTCTGCTCATGCTGCTTCTGTGACACTTCAATGTCAGAATCTTTTTTGCCTGGCACATACTGGCGTTTTTTCTCTGATTCCTCCTTACTTGTCCACCCTTACCTCTTATCACTTCTGGCCTTGCTGAGCCATGTGGGTGTCCTCAGGCACATGCTTTTTCCGCTTCTTAGAAATTTGTCCATGAATTCAGCTTAGATTTTTCCCCCCCTCTATACATTAGACCATCTCAATCCTATTCATTTTTCAAGACTCAGATGAAATATTACCTCATCTCGGAAGCCTTCCCTTATTTACTCCATCATTCATTCAACAAATATTTACTGTGCTAGACTTCAGGGATACAGGAGATGAGCAACTGACCTGGTCCCAACCCTCAGGGTAGAGCATGGAAGACATAACTAAACACAGTACCATAATAAAGTGTTATCTTCTATGGAAGTAAGGAGGTTATGGAAGGCTTCCTGAAACAGGCAGTATTCAGGTTGAAACCTGAAAGGTGATTAGAACTAACCAGTTAAAACAGGAGGTAACAGAGAGTGGTGAAGGAATTCTAGGTTATGAGAGGGACCAACTAAGATGGGGAAGATAGACAGAAAAAAAAATATAGGTAAGAAAATTCTGCAAAACATTTTAATGAGTGGGAGGCTTTTTATGCATTCCCCAAAACAATAGACAGAATAATCCTTAAAGTGATTATTATGTGTAGAAAATAATTTAATACATGATTATAGTAGCATCTCAGGCATCATGTTGGGGGTAAGAACTAGATTATTGACAAATGGAGCTTAGGAGTTTAGTTGCTGTGTATAGTATGTGTTATTCATTGCTTGTTTGGCTGTTCCTTGGAGCATATTCATGCCTATGGGACTGGAATTATGTAGTAAAATTGATATAGATGAAAAATTCCACCATTGGAGTGACTTTTCATTTTAGTCCTTATTTTTCTAATTAAGAGTAGTAAATAATTTATTTCTGAAATTTTCCAAAAGATATGTTTGGAAATACTGAGATAAGGAAGTCAAGTTTCTATATTTGATGGCTAGAGATTAAATCCCAAATCCGTCCAACATCTCAGGCTTCCAGGTACTGGGCATAAAGCGTAAGAAGTGGGGGTCTGGTCCATGGCATCTAGAGCATGGCTAACTCAGGCAATCACCAGGAAGATGAGAAAAAGAACTAACTAGAGGCTAAGTCCACTGACGGTAAGAGCAGTACTAATAGTCTTGAATTTAGTTTGTATTCTTGAAGAAATACAAGTTTTAAATTATAAGTTCTTGATTTGGGCCTGTGAGAATCTGAGGTTTGACTGCACATTTTGTTTTCTTTAGACAATATAATGAGCCGTCCTGTTCTCCATGCGAAATTATATTAGTTGGTGATTCCTATGGCAGTACAGATTTAATTAACATTTTTAAATTTCTTGCAAGGAATCATTCTTTCATTCATTTTTAGAAATTGTGTCCAATATTCACTCTGTTGCTGGTATATGATCATGCATATGTTTGAATAAATCAGATGTTGTGTTAATGCTGTGGCTTCTGTTAAAGGCTTTGTAGGAAAATACTTCTCTGTCTTTTATGCCTTTGCTCTGCTTCAGCTAAATTTGACTTGGTACTTGGCTGCTATTGGTGGGTATCCAATGATGTGTATCCTTATTAAAGTTGCTTTTTTTCCTGAAACTTTACACCATTTTCCAAACCATCTTGTTGCAAATCGACAAGTCTGTGGCACTTAAGTTGTTTGCTTAAATTCTTGACTTTTATATTTCCTCAGGTACTTCATCAAATTTTTAATAGTTTGATTTCTTTTTTTCCTTATCAAAGGAAAGTATCTTCTTATAATAATTGAATATTTCTAGGACTGGAGATCTAGTTACCTTTTATGATATTGTGGCAAAGAAAGGAGTATCCAATGGACAGATAATGATAATGTTAGAGCTTTTCACTCAATAATGAAAAATAAACTATGTAGCCTACATTTTAACTGAATCTTGAGCAAAGTGCTTTATAATGTTTCCTGTATTCCCAGAGGCATGTGCTATTTACTAGCTTCTCCTTCTGTGTAGCTTGTATGATTAACTTACCAGTGTCAGTGGGGCCAAAATAAATATTGATTTTTCAATATAGGGGTTTTGAAACAAATGCCATGCTTAAAGTGACAGTCCTCCAATAAACACTCATCAAGCATATACTCTGAGTAAAGCACTTTGCTAGGTGCTTGCAAGATTTAGAAATAAATCAGATGTGGCTCCTGCTATCAGGAACCTTTGAGGTTGTGAGGGAGATTATACCCTGATGAACAGGAACTTCCAAAGTGTCCTGCAGGCCTAGGATGGGGGGGTGGTCACCTCAGACATTCAAGGGTCCTAATTTTGAAATTCATTCATTAGTTTAAAAAAATATTTTAACAATTAGTATAATAAATACCAATTTATTTAAAGGCTGTCCCGAATGTTTATGCTGATTTTAATTTATTTGAACTTTTCTTATATATTAATGTAAATTCTTACATTATTTTCTTTCTAGTTTACTAGAAAATGGTCAGTTGGAAATTGTAACAGGTGGCTGGGTTATGCCTGATGAAGCTGCTGCACATTATTTTGCCATAATTGACCAACTAATTGAAGGACATCAGTGGCTGGAAAAGAATTTAGGTACGTATCGATGTCTTTCCCCTTCATTTGGACTACTTTGGGCAGTTAATGTGGGGGATTTTGAGATGAGGCTCTATTTTATTATTTTAAACTAGAGGCCTGGTGCACAAAAATTTGTGCACTTGGGGGGGTCCCTCAGCCCGGCCTGTGTCCTCTCGCAGTCTGGGACCCCTCGGGGGATGACCACCTGCTGGTTTAGGCCCACTCCCTGGGGGATTGGGCCTAAGCTGGCAGTCAGACTTCCCTTTGGCAGCTGGGGAGCCCTCGGGGGATGTCCACTTGCCAGTGGGGAGCAGGCCTAAGCTGCAGTCGGACATCCTTAGCGCTGCTGAGGAGGCGGGAGAGGGTCCCGCCACCACGTCTGTACTGGCAGCCGTCAGCCTGGCTTGTGGCTGAGCAGAGCTCCCCCTGTGGGAGTGCACTGACCACCAGGAGTAGCTCCTGAATTGAGCATCTGCCCCCTGGTGGTCAGTGTGTGTCATAGGGACCAGTCATTCCCAGTCGTTCTGCTGTTAGGGTCAATTTGTATATTACCCTTTTATTATATAGGAGTGTCTGGCCAGCCTGGGTGAGGGGCTGATGGCTGTTTGCAGGCTAGTCACAGCCCCTTCAGGGTGGGGGTCCCCTCTGGGGTGCCTGGCCAGCCTGGGTGAGGGGCTGATGGCTGTTTGCAGGCTGGCCACAGTCCCTTCAGTGTGGGGGTTCCCCCTGGGGTGCCTGGCCAGCCTGGGTGAGGGGCTGAGGGCTGTTTGCAGGCTGGCCATATCCCCTTCAGGGGGGGTCCCCACTGGGGTGCCTGGCCAGCCTGGGTAAGGGGCTGAGGGCCGTTTTTAAGCTGGCCAAGCCCCCCAGCGGGGACCCTCACCCCATGCGGGTGTGGCCAGCTTGGGTGAGTGGCTGATGGCTGTTTGCAGGCTGGCCACAGCCCCTTCAGGGTGGGGGTCCCCGCTGGGGTGCCTGGCCGTCCTGGATGAGGGGTTGAGGGCCATTTTCAGGCTGGCTAAGTCCCCCAGCGGGGACCCTCACCCCATGAGTGTGTGGCCAGCCTGGATGAGGGACTGATGGCTGTTTGCAGGCTGGCCACAACCCCCAGCCACCCAAGCTCCCAGTGGAGGCTGGCTGGAAGCAGGTATCTGGGATTTATTTGTCTTCTATAATTGAAACTTTGTTGCCATTAGTGGAGGCCACAGCCGGCTCAGGGCAGGCGGGAAGCTTGGGTTCTTCCATCGCTCGGGCAACCAAGCCTTCTGCTTGCTCCAGCTCCATGGCTGCCGGCCACCATCTTGGCTGGCTTAGTTTGCATATAGTCACTCTGATTGGCTGGTGGGCATGGCTTAGGGCATAGTGAAGGTACGGTCAATTAGCATCTTTGTCTTATATTAGTGTAGATAATGAATTTTCCCAATACTTATTATTTTCAAATAATTTATATTTTATTAATTTATGTTGTTTCTTTGCTCATGAGTTATATAGATATGATATAGTCTTTTAGGGTCATCTACCTTATTTAATCTACTATTTTATCTATTTTTTTACCTATATTTTTAATAGTTAGAATAACTTTTTTCCAAACGTATCCCATTGGGATTTTAATTATATGCTACTTAACACACTTGGTCATAAGAGGCAAAAACCTAATTTACTAGCTAAGGATATAAAAAAAAGTATTAATTTTATCATTGAGAATTCCAGATATATGGTAGCTTCAGGTAAGGTTGGATCCAGGGGACTCAAAGTATGTTGTCTGAGCACTGTCTCTGGCTCTGCTCTTTTTTACATGGTTTCAATCCTCTCCTGGCTCTCACCCCATGGTAAGATGGCCATAGGAAATTAAGACTCATCTTCACAGTCTAACAACCAGGAGGAGTTTTTCCTAATACTTTACCTAATTGGTCCAATTTGAGTCAGGTGCTTATTTCTGAGCCAGTTACTGTGGCCAGAAGTATAGCAGCTGAAATCACCAAGGCCTAGTTTGGTGGAAATGGTCATGGGGATGAGGGGTTTGTGGGGTCAGCCTCACCTGAAGCATGTGAATGGATGGGCCCTCCATGGGGAAGGAAAGGTCCTGTTATTACAAGAAGTGGGGAAGAGGATGCTACGCTAATAAAATCACATGTTCACTACAACTCAAAAGGACATGGGACTAACTGAAATTTTTGTGATATTTAATATTTTCATTCTGTAACACGAAATTTTTTTAAAACATTTACTAACTCTCAGTACAACTTTATAGTTCCTGTATGTAAGCAAACATGTTTTTATTGATGTTATTTCTAGATATTACTTAAATTTTTTGTATGTAGAGATAAAATCCCTATTAATTTTTTCCTCTATGTTTTAGTTTGGAATAATTTCAAACTTGAAAAATTGTAAGAATACTAGGTATAAAGAACTCCCATAAACTCCTTAACCATGTTCACCAGTTATTAATATTTCAGCATATTTAAATTATTTTTCTTTTTTCCATATTGTTGTCATGATTGTTATTATTGTTAGAATAAGTTGAAGATATCATACCTGTGCAGAAAAGAGATAACATAATAGATCGGAAACTGCTATCCTTAGAAAGGTTTTGATTGCAAGGTTGGCCCTTGGTTGGTGTCTGGAGGCTTGGATTTCCTAAATGCTAAGAGTGGCTTGCTGTGTTTAAGTTATTTGTAAAATCCAATGTAGTTTATGCTAAATACTTGTTTTTCTTCTGAGAGTCTATAATCTCAAGATATACTAGGCAGAGGGTGCCTACCTGACCAACCCCAATGAAAACATTGGACACTGAGTCTCTCAAGAGCTTCCTTGGTTGACAGTATTTCAGGTGTTGTCACAGTTTGGTGCTGAAGGAATTAAATATGTCCTGTGTGACTGCACAGGGAGAGGACTTTTAGAAGCTTGTGCCGGTTTCCTGTGGACTGTGCCCTTGCCTTTTCCGTTTGCTGATTTAGCTTTGTATTCTTTCACAGTAATAAATCATAGCTGTGAGTATAGCTGTGTGTCAAGTCCTGTAGATTTTCTTAGCAAATCAACTGGGAAGTAGACCTGAATACCCCTTGATTTTCTAAGCCACAAGAGTATTGTAAGCTAAGAATAGTCATTTTTAAAACCTCAGTTTTTACGGGATTTTTCTTTATGTTTAGCTTTTATTGACATAATTTATATGCAGCATAACATATAAATCTTAACTGTAGAGTTTCAGTTTTGACAAATGTACATAACGCATTTAATCCACATCTTCCCCACTCCAGAAAGTTCCTCATTCTGCTCAGCTCTCCCCTTCAGCCAGCTGCTCTCTGATTTCTATCACTGTACTTTACTTTTGCCTATTTAAGAATTTCACATATATGGACTCTTTTAGATCTGGCTTCTGGTGCTCAGCATACATTTTTTTCTTATACGTGTATTGTTTAACCTATAAAATTCACCCATTTATAGTGCATAGTGCAGTATTTTTCAGTACATTTACAGAATTGTGCAACCATCTATTTTTAGGACTTTTTCAACATCCCAAAGAGAAACCACTTACTCTCTAATAGTCACACCACTTTCTTACTCTCCTTCCTTCCTTGCCTCAGGCCCAGTCAACTAGTGATCTCCTTTTAAATATATGGATTTGACTATTCTGGATATTTCACATAAATGGAATCATATGGCCTTTATGACTGGCTTCTTTCACTTTTAGCATTATGTTTTCAGGTTTCATCCATGCTGTAGCAAGTATTGTGATTCATTCCTTTTCATAGCAGAATATTCTGCTGCTTGAATACACCACATTTATTTATCTTTTCTTCAGTTGAACATTTTGATTGTTCCCCTTTTTGACTGCTATGAATAATGTTGCTGTTATACAATTGTGTTCAGTTTTTGTGAGGACATATGTTTTCATTTTTTTGGGTATAGACCTAGGAGTGTATTTACTGGGTCATATAACTTCGTTTAGCATTTTGAAGAGCTTCCTAATTGTTTTTCAAAATTGCTGCACCATTTTACATTCCCACGAGTAATATAAGGGTTCTAATTTCTCCACATCTTCAACAACATTGGCTATTGTCTTCTTTTTTTTTTTTTAGCCATATTAGTGTGTGTGAAATGGTATTTTATTATGGCTTTGATTTGCATTTTCCTAAAGACTAAAGATATTAAGTATCTTTTCATGTGTATATTGCCTATTTGTATACCTTCTTCAGAGAAACGCCAATTCAAATGATTTGCCTATTTAAAAAAAATTTTTTTTTGAATAGTCTGAGGAGGATAGGTTTTAGTTCTTCTTTGAATGTTTGGTAGAACTCCCCGGTGAAGCCCCCCAGACCAGGGCTTTTGCTTGCTGGAAGTTTTTTGATTACTGCTTCAGTTTCATCAGTAGATATCGGCCTTTTCATGTTTTTTGATTCTCCCTGCTTGAGTTTTGGAAGATTGTATTTTTCTAGGAATATGACCATTTCATCTAGGTTGTCCAGTATTTTGAAGTAGTTATTTGTAGTATTTTTTGTGTGTGTGTCTGTGGGATCAGTTGTTATTTCACCTCTTTCATTTCTGATTTTGCTTACTTGGGTCCTCTCTCTTTGTTTCTTGGCAAGCCTGGCTAGAGGTTCATCAATCTTGTTTATCCTTTCAAAGAACCAGCTCTTGGTTTCATTGATCTTGGTTTCATTAAATGTTTTTGTATGTCATTTATTTTCTATCTGATCTTTATTATTTCCTTTCTTCTGCTTACTCTGGGCTTTTCTTGTTGCTCTCGTTCTAATTCTTTGAGTTTTAGGTTTAGATAATTTATTACCATTTTTTCTTGTTTTTTTGAGGGAGGGCTGTAGAGCTATGAACTTCCCTCTCAGGACTGCTTTCATTATGTCCCATAAATTTTGGATTGTTGTGTTTTCATTGTCATTTGTTTCCAGGATGCTATTTATTTCTTCTTTGATCTCTTTGGTAACCCAATCATTGTTTAATAGCATGCTATTTAGCCTCCAAGTGTTTGATTTTTTTCATTGTTTTTATTGTAGTTGATTTCT